AAAGTGCTGAGATTATAGATGTGAGCCACCATGCCCGGCCTGACTGGCTAAAGTTAATTCTGATGATCATTCATAATTTTTTGAAAATCTATCCAAAGTATAGCTTCAAGAAGGAGATAGGGGCACAGAAAGAAAAACTATGAGGCAACATGTCATCTGGTTAAGGGTGCAGACTTTGTAATCAGATTGAATAGGCTGGAACCTTGGATCCACCATTTATAAACCATGTAACCTTAGGCACACTATTAACATCTGTGTGCCTCAATTTTTCCTCAAGTATACAGTGCAGATACTAATAATGCCTATCTCATAGGATTGTTGAAAGGATCAAGTGAATTAATACATAAGAAGTTCTTAGAATAGTTCACATAGTAAGTACTCAAGAAATACTCGTTGTTGATGTTGTTAGATTAATCCCTCTGGGTCTTTAGCTCAGCCTACAACATTGAGGAAATCCTCACCTTCCTGCCAAGATGAAGAGCGAAAGGAGTTGGTCTAGTGTCAGTGGCAAGTGTAATGGATGGGAAATTGAGACATCTCTTCTGTTGTGGAGTTCTCAATAATGATTTTGTTTAACATGAGCTACAATTATCTTTAAAATGCCCTTTGTCCCTAAAAGTCTTCCTCTCATAAAAACCATATTGCTGTTCCACTTGACTTTGAAGCCCCAAGGCTGGTAAGTCATTATCTTAAATGGATTGTTCCCAAGTCCAGGATCACATTCTTAGCACAGACATGGAGATCAATTTCACACAGTAATTAGCCATCTTGATGAAATAGGACTAAAACAGGTCCTTCCCACTTGCCCTGTTCTTAATTAATAGAATGACCCATTTTTCAGCCACCTAGACCTCGCATCCTTAAGAACCACTTTTGGTGCTAAAAATAAAGTTGGAAAAAAAGAAAGAGCAATGAGGACATTTATAATGAGGCCATTTACCTCTTTAATTATATGCTTTGAACGATTAATAAATGTTTGCTGAGTGAATGAGTGCATTTGAAATGGAATGATGTGTGAATTGACTGTTTTCTCAACTGATGGCTCTGACCTCTCAATACTAACTTTTGTAGTGAGTGTTGCTTTTTAGGGTTTAATTTTTTATTGTCATTTTGGCTAATGGACAGTGTCAGGGATTGCTGTGATCTAATAAAAAACTTTTGGTGGTGGGGAAGGGAGAAGCACTGATTTTAAACTTTTTATTATACAAAGAAAACATTTTCATAGCATACAAATTAGAAAATATATAATAAAGATCAAAACGAAAATGAAATCATTATGTTTCCTAAAGAAAACAATTGATAGTATTCCAGCAAACTTAATTTTTGTCTTTCAAGAATGGAATTATTCTGTATATTCCAGGGTCTTCAGATATAGCCCTGGGAATAATCTCTTATATATCTCTTTTCTACTGTCCTGTGTCACAGCTGTAGAACCCTCAACACAGTGCTTTGGGCAGGTCCCACCAGTTCATTTGAGTTGTTATATGCTAGGTTTTGTGGCATATGAACATCATCTTATTTTAAAATAGTTTTTGATATAATTTAAGAGATAAGTGACAGGTAGAAATATGCCGTTCAACAAAAACCTAAGTCCTATGCCCTATCATCAGAGAGATTTCTTAACTTTCCCATTTATGCAGCAATTGTATATCCACATTCAGATGCTGGCAGGGGTATTACCATCTTCCTGCAGTTCAACACAAGGTTTCTAAGACCTACTTAGAAGCTGGCTAATACCTTTGTTGTTTTAGTGAGGAAGCCAGTTACCCCAAAGACAGTCATTGCTCTTGCCTGGAATTCTCATGCTCCAGATCTTTGAGCAACTCAGCCCACATGTGATCTTAGAGGGGCCTTTCCCGACCACGACCCTATCTAAAGTAGCTACCCAGTCACTCTCAGTCCTCTTTCCCTATTTTCCTTCCTGCAGAGGTGACTACTCCTGGAAAACAGCTTGAGTGTATTGGTTGATTTATTGTCTGACAATTCCCTGTTGAATGTCAGCTCCCTGATAACAGGTATCTTGTTTGTCTTGTTCTGATTGTATCCGCCATACCTAAAATAGCATCTGGCATATTGTAAGCTCTTATATATTCAATGAATAATTAAACCATGCTCTGATATTATCAGGCTGTGGCCTTGCTATCCTCTCAACTTGCCCTTCTAAATCCTATAAACCAGTGTTACCCAAAGTGTGGCCCATGGGCCTGTAGCATCAGCAGCACCTAGAAACTTGTTAGAAGTAGGTTCTTGAGCCCCATACTAGACTTCCTGAATCATAGTTTCTGAATGTGTGGCCTAGGAACATGGATTTAAGCAAGCTGTATTGGCCGTTCTTATGTATGCTGAGGTCTGAGGACCACTGCCATGATCATGGAAATCTCATCCACATCAATTTTTGCTTTCTAAAAAAGCCTTTCCTAAAATCTGTGGCATTCTACAAGGGACAACTCCTTCACCTGAATTACTAATTACCTCAGAATTGTTTACCCCTACATGCTTTGTAGCTGTTTGATGTATAGTCTGTTTCTTCAACCAGTCTGAGATCTCCAGCAAGACAGGAACATAATTCTACTCTGATCTTTTCTGTGGGTGTAATGAGTGAGCAATCAGGAAACACTTGATTGTTTTGGTCATGTGTGTACATTTATGGGACAAGAATGTTATGTCGTCTGTGTAGCTCCCCCGAACCTGATCTTTGCTGCGGTGTGGAATTGGCCACACATGCTTGGTTGCATGGGGCCCTGGATTATCCACAGGAACTTGGTTCTGGAAATACCAAAGCACTGTTGTTTCACAGCAGCCCAATGAGTAGGCCCTGCATGGGATGAGGCTTTTGCTCTGTCTTCCTGCATGGTCACCTCTAGTCATTTGAGAGCTTCCGTTGCATGCGCATCACCTATAGTAGGAGATGCCATCAATTGATCAATTATTTCAAGCACATTTTAAATTCATCGTCCCTCTGTCTACCTGAGAATTGCTAATGTCATATTCTTCACTGACCACAAGGCAAATTAGAAAATTGGTTGCTATGATTTCACTATCTATAGAAGACAAAGCACTGTGTCTCTCTTTTTACAGTAGAAGTGCTCCAGAGAATTTCTGTGTCAACTTTAGAGATACTTTTCATAAAGATAAGAAGCATTTTATTCTTCTGAGAGAAAGGAGAATAATTAAAAAATAAAAAAACCTTTTGCATGCTGACTTCCCCCTGACTCCAAATTATCGCTTCTGCACAGATTCTAAAGTTATTCCACACGTTTCTTTGTGAAACTTCTTTAACCAGCTTGCGGAGACTTGAGCTGTACTGGGCCAACTCATAGTGTATGCTCATGGCACACAGGATGACTAGTTTATTTTTATTCTCCGTTATTTTGGATCGGAGAACAATCCTAGGGCACAAGAATTTCATGCGTGGTTATTTTTGGCATGTGGAGGCTTTTGAAGTAATCTGTGGTTAATCACTGAATACCTGCTAGATAGGCAGGGATATGTGCATTAGGCTGTCTTATGTTTGTGCAAGTGTACAAGTGCATGCAGGGCTTGTGTATTGGGCAGTGGGAAAGAAGACATGAGTTGTGATAACCTTCCCTCTGGAATGTAGAATCTTGCCAGGAAAGCAAGCACACCAGTTAGACCTGAGCTGGAATTCTGCTTTCTTTAATAACTGTGCAATCTTGGGTAAGAGTTTCTCTGGGCTGTTACAATCAAATGACGTAACAGATGAAGATGCCTAGCCCCATGTCTGGTGTGTACTAGGTGCTGAAGGTCTGTGTTGGTGTGCATGTGTGTACTTGTGCCTGGCTCTTATTTAATAACACAGATGTAAAACAAACTGCACACAACATTGTATAGCTTTATTAGTTACTATGTTTTAAACTCCCAAAGCAACACATTTTTAAAAAGCAATGTTGTCCCACAGCCTTTCCTACATTTGATGTTCCTAGGCTTATTGTTTAATTTTTTGCCAATCTACTGTATTAAATGAGATCATAAATATGATTTAGATAGTAAATGATATCATAAATATTATTTAGATATTAAATGATATCTTAGTGTTATTCTTAATATTTTTTCAGTGGCCATCTATCACTTATTACTTAGTTTAATTTAAAAAATTAATATATATTAATTCTTATTGTATAGGAATACTGCATAGGTTTCATATAGGAAGTATGAAACTCAGGTTGCTTGAGGGATAACTGCTGTGCACACTGTGGTGCATTCAGAACCTTCCAGTCTTTTCTTCTTGGCATATGTAGTTATCTACACTGAGGTCATACCACATATACAGCTTTATATTCTGACTTTTTCATTTAACTTTTTTTTTTTTTTGGAGACAAGATCTTGCTCTGTCACCCAGACTTTAGCACAATGGCTCAGTGATGGTGCACTGCAGCCTCAAACACCTGGACTCAAGAGATCTTCCCACTTCAACCTCTCGAGAAGCTGGGACTACAGGTGCACACCACCATGCTCAGCTAATTTTTTGTAGAGATGGGGTCTTGCTGTGTTGCCCAGGCTGGCCTTGAGCTCCTGGCCTCAAGCAGTCCTCCCATTTCAGCCTCCCAAAATGTTGAGATTACAGGTGTGAGCCAGTGCACCTGGCCTCATTTTACATTTTGTCATGAAAAAGTCTTGTGCCATTAAATGTTATGTAAAAACATGACTTTCAATGGCTGCTTGCTTTTCTGTTATATGGATGTGCCTAAACTTAGGCAATCACTGGTTTTTATGTTTTTCTTTTTTGCTGTTCTATCTAATGCGGAACATCTTTGTACTATATCTGTGTTACGTTTATAAGGTAAAGGACGTTGGAAAATATGTGGTTAATTCTTGAATGTACTGCCCTTTTTAAAGCATACATGTGAAGTATCCATACAGCCAGGGTTGTGGGGAAGCACTGTCTGCAGCTGGTGCTTTTGTGTAACATGCATCTGACAGGTTAGAGCCCTCGGCTGAGAGTCCCAGTAGCACTTACCTTGCTTTTTCTCTCTGCACAGTCCTATTGTTACAGGTATCGCTGTGCTGCTCGTAGCCAGAACACACCTGATAGCTCTGCTTCGAATCTGGGATTCCGCTGTGCGGCCAACCGCCTGCCCACCATGGACTGACAACCGAGAAGAATTTTCCCAATCCAAGAAGGAGTCGTGTCTGACCTACAGAACTCTGAACGATCTCATGCAAAGAATTCCCACCCTGAGGTGGGTTACATACCTGCCCAACGGCCAAAGGAACCGCCTTGTGAGACCAAATCGCTGACCTGGGTCAGTGCATGTGCTTTATTGTGTGGTGCATCTTTGAAGATCATCGCCATATTTTACTTTTGAGAGTCTTTAAAGAAGAAGGGGAGTGGAGGGAACCCTGACCTAGGCTTCAGGAGGCCCGCATCCTACACAGGCTCTGCCACAGGGGTTAGACCCCAGGTCTGACACTTGGCCTTCCTGGGCCTCAAGTTCCCTCCCCTATCAAATGAGGGGATGGACAGCATGACCTCTGGGTTTCTCTCCAACTCATCAGTTCTAAAGAGGATATCAGATTCTATTGTGACTTCATAGTGAGAATTTATGATAGATTATTTTTTAGCTATTTTTTCCATGTGTGAACCTTGAGTGATACTAATCATGTAAAGTAAGAATTCTCTTATGTATTATTTTCAGAAAAGGGATGGTGGTGACTCCTTTATATTCATACTGCACTTTGTTTTTCCAAGGAAATCAGTGTCTTTTACATCGTTATGATGAATCCCACATAGGCCAGTGATGGTATGCTGAAGTTCAGCCATTGAACACACAGGAATGTCTGTGGGGTGACTCTACTGTGCTTTATCTTTTAACATTAAGTGCCTTTGGTTCAGAGGGGCAGTCATAAGCTCTGTTTGCCCCTCTCCCCAAAGCCTTCAGTGAATGTGAAATGTGTGCTAAATGGGGAAACCTGTTTAATTCTAGGTATAGGGTAAAAGGAATGAGGACCTTGAATTAGCTATATTCAGGGTATCCGGTATTTTGTAATAGGGAATAGGAAACCTTGTTGGCTATGGAATATCAGATGCTTTGAATCATGCACTATGTTGAATAAACTTATCTGCTAAATCAGGCTTCACTCTCATCAGCTTCTTTTCTCTTTCTCTTCTTTGAGTTTTCTTTTAAAGAAAGGACTTTGTGATATGCATGTTTTATTTGCTAGAAGACTTCCATGTTTATTAGCTAGTGGATAACTTTGATATATAGGTAATTTGTGGGAATTTTTATTCCAAATAGCAAGGCTATTCCACCAGGATCCCTATCATGACCTTGCTGCTTGTTGCCACAGTAGATAAATGCCAAGTCAAAGGCACTGCCCCGGTTGGTGGTCTTGTAAAACCCAGCATTTGCTTCCCATGCCAGGAAAGCACCTTGTTTTAGAACAATGGATTTTGACCTAAGGTCCCTCTTATCAAAGTTCCCATCCTGATTCCTCAGTCCTGAGAACCCCTAAGCCATTTCTTGCATGCCATTCAAAAGAAATGTTTAAATCAAATAATATTCAAAAGTGTTTAACCAACACATTTACTACTTTTGTCTTCGCCTCTTAACATGTTAAAACATTTCACTTGAAAAGCAATTGTGTAGGCCAGGCTCAGTGGCTCATGCCTGTAACCCCAGCACTTTGGGAGGCCAAGGTGGGTAGATCACTCAAGGTCAGGAGTTCGAGATTAGCCTGACCCACATGCCAAAACCCTATTTCTACTAAAAATACAAAAAAAAAAAAAAAAATTTGCCAGGAGTGGTGGCATGTGCCTGTAGTCCCAGCTACTCAGGACTGAGCCAGAAGAATCGCTTGAACTCGGGAGGCAGAGGTTGCGGTGAGCCGAGATCACGCCATTGCATTCCAGCCTGGATAACAGAACAAGACTTTGTCTCAGAGAAAAAAAAAAAAGTCATGTAGCTGGCATGTTTAGCCACATTTGTGGTTCATTTTGTGGATATTAAATGTTTTTCTACAAACTTCCACCTACTGATGATTAATCCCGGGGCAGGGGGGAAAAAAACATTTGTAGCAAATAACTAATGTAGGAAATAAGATATTTTATTTTTAAAGTCGTCCTACTCCAGTACAGTTTGTTTTTGCTTGTTACCTCCCACCTGCATATATTTTTTACATTGTTATATTTATAGTGTGTATATTTTGAATTCTTCTCTTGTTAATTAATGTTATATTGCATAAATATTTTTGGTGTTTTGGGTATACTTTTTAGAATTGCATTTTTAGCAGCAGCACAATACTGGAAGGCATTTAAAATGAATTCCTAAGTTGGGGACAGTGGCTGATATCTATAATCCCAGTGCTTTGGGAAGTTGAGGCGAGAGGATCATTTGAGGCCAGGAACTGAGACCAGCCTGGTCAACTGATATGGTTTGACTGCGTCCCCACCCAAATCTCATCTTGAATTGTAGTTCCCATAATCCCCAGGTGTTGTGCAAGGGACCTGGTGGGAGTAATTGAATCATGGGAGCAGTAACCCCCATGCTGTTCTTGTGATAGTGAGTTAGTTCTCACAAGTTCTGATGGTTTTATAAGGGGCTTTTCCCCCATTGCTCAGCACTTACTCTCCTGCCACCCTGTGAAGAGGCGCCTTCCACCATGATTGTAAGTTTCCCCAGCCATGTGGAACTGTGAGTCAATTAAACCTCTTTTCTTTATAAATTACCCAGTCTCAGGTATTCCTTCATAACAGTGTGAACATGGAGTAATATAGCAACAAAGCGAGACCCCATCTTTACAAAAAATGAAAAATCAAAATTAGTTGGGCATGGCAGTGTGTACCTGTCATCCCAGCTACCTGAGAGGCTGAGGTGGGAGGTTTGCTTGTGCCCAGGAGCTCAAGGCTGCAGTAAACTATGATTGTGCCCGTTTACACCAGCCTGGGCAACAAAGAAAGACCCTGTCTCTAAAAATACATAAAATAAAATGACATCCTAACAAGCCATTTATTTAAGAACTACATGTCTGGGTTACCAACTAAAGAGTACCCTAAACTATGGCCAGCTATAGTCACTACGGTTTATAATGCTGGATAATGACACATGAGCAGACCAACAAAATGGGACTGTGAAAAGTTCGGTTTGAATGCCATAAGTCCTGAAAAGCCTCACTTTCTGTAAAATTGCACACAGAAAAAGAGAGGCATAAGGGGAAAATAGGGCTAGAGGCAGATTACTCAAAACTTAAGGAACTTTGTACATTGTACCATAGCACTAGCAAAATAATAACTATCCTAACAAAACCAGTAGCTTAATTCAATCTCCACTGGCATTTGCAGCCAGTATTACAGCCCAGTTGATCCTTTGCAGCCTTAAGCCTTGAGGCACCTTCTTTCTTCTCCAAGATGTAAGACCTTCAGGACATATGCTTCTAATGGAGACCACTTCCATCAAAAGTAAAAAATCTGATCTGGGATGTAGATTTCTTCATCAGTCAACTTCAAGAGGGGCAGTGTCTTTGCAGCGTCTTTACCTGCACTCTGCTTAATGCAGAGAGAGCTTAACACAGTGGAAACTGTAGCAGTTCTTGAAGCCACTAAATAAATCACTAGATGCACTAAAAGAAGGCACTTTCATAGGATTATTTTTTTTTTTTCCTGAAGGTCTTCATATATTGCTAAGGTTTTCTCTTAAATTATGAGAAAGTTTGTGCCTGCTTGTTTCAATACATGTTTTAAACCACATGTGATCCAACATGACTTCCACATTCTACTGTCCTCCATTCTGTTTATTAATCGCTTGTGAGCTATTTCTGCTTTAAATAAACACTTGGAGCAGAGCAGACCATTTGGTCAATGTGCCAGTTCCAGTTGCAGTATTAAAAAACTGTTTTTTATTGTTGTTGTTGTTGTTTTAGGAACTCTTATATCTAGAGTTGGTTTCTAATTCTCGTTTCTTGCCCCATTGAAACATGGAAGGAATTTGAGGTTTGTTCTCAAGTCTGCTTTAGTCCTGAATCCTGGATGGTCTTTATTTTTGGATTGTACGTGACAGTTGAGTGAGAAGCAAGGTGTATCTCTGTTTTTTAAAAGCTGTAAACATGATTAGAAGAAGGTAGGGGCTGGGGGAAATAGGGGTGGTAATCAAGAGGGACCTTCTCTTCATGGAAAATGGGCTGCATAGATGCCTCAAACTACATGGTTCAACCTACAGCTTAAAATGGAGTACAGCTCTGTGTCAATATGGACATTTTCTTTTCACCCTCACCTTCTACCTTTTTTTGAACAGAGCATCTCAATTGTCCATATGACCCTTGAGGAAAAAAAGAAATGGAAGCTACCATTTATTTTAGTAAGAGTTCGTTGGGGCCAGGCACGGTAGCTCATGCCTGTAATCCCAGCACTTTGGGAGGCCGAGGTGGGTGGATCAGCTGAGGTCAGGAGTTCATGACCAACCTGGCCAACATGGTGAAACCCCGTCTCTACTAAAAATACAAAAATTAGCTGGGCTTGGTGGTGGATGCCTGTAATCCCAGCTACTCGGAGGCTGAGGCAGGAGAATCAATTGAACTCAGGAGGCGGAGGTTGCAGTGAGCTGAGATCACGCCATTGCACTCCAGCCTAGGTGACAAGAGCAAAACTCTGTCTCAAAATAAATAAATAAATAAAAGTTAGTTGGGGCAGGGGTGTGGTGGGGGTGGTGGCTTCAAAGTAGTGCATTGGTAAATTCTATTTTTCAGGGACTGTCTTTACTGAGAATTCTGTTGATAAAAAATAATGACTGAAATTTCATCCATGAGAATCTAGTATTTTAATTCTCTTGCTAATCACCTTTTCAAAATAGATCACATTTTTGTCCTCAGTATTCAAGCTGCAAACAGAATTTTTGCATGTGGTAAAATCCATAGTTGACTTCAGGAATATCTTGAAAAAAACACCGTAAACATAGTGCTTTCTGTTCTGAAACTTCAGGAATTTTATGAAAGGGATTAGTGTGGGCTTATGTTTTCTTTTTTAAATATTTGGCATTTCTGTCTCCCTCCTGCCCTCCTTCCTTCCAACAAATATTAACATTCTATTCTCAGTATTTCTCATAAGGGAGTTAACCTGCAGGCTGGTTATGGAGGAACAAAGGAAGTGCAGAGCCAGGCAAGATGTGTCAACAGGTGAAGCAGGCTGGGTGTGAGTGAGGCCTGTTGTAAGCGTGCTGCCACTGCTCTGTTCTCGTCCATGGCTGCCCTGCAGAAATGTCAGCCGGGAGTTGCTCAGTTATCCAGTTTCCAGGACTGGCTGGATGTTTGCATTTTCGTGTGAAGTCTTCTGAGTTTTTAATGTTGGCAACCAACTAAGATTTTAAAAAAGCAAACACTGTGAAGACCTAATAAATTGCTTCTACAGCTCTGTTTCATCTGTGGGGTGCCAGTTTGCATTTGCAGCCTGGATTATGAAGAGTTGACACAGAGCAAAAAAAAAAAAAAAATTTGTATGTATTTATATCTGAAGAATGACTGATGAAGTAAGTAATGTACTAGTAAGAAATGTATAAATGTGAAAAAGGGCCGTGGCTTGCCCAGGGACCTCATCTTGCCTAGAAATGCCTTACGAGACTCCTCTCTTCTATCCCCACGCCATCCCCACCAAAAACCATTTAACAGCGATGGGTAATCTCAGCAGAGCCATGGACAGCCCATTTTCATTAACTTGAGCACTTATGGCTAAGTGTGCAGATTAATATCAGAGAATAGCAAAATTTTAATTTATTGACTGTTGATTTACTTTTATTTGTTAAAACTTAATTCTCTGGATACAAACCACCCTAGAGCAGGCCTCATTTTTATAGGTTTTCCAGAGTCAGTTGTGCTATTAGTGAAAGCTAGCCTTTGTTGTTTCAAATGCTTAAAACACCATGGAAATTATTAACTCTGAGAGCCTCAGATGGAGCTTTGGCAGGTGGCCAGAACTTCCTTCCTCTGACTCTTGTGTTTAGACCATTAGAGCAAGAGTTTAATTAATTTTTTGATTAAGCAAAATCGTTACAGACAATATTCAGGTAGGCTGTAAAATGAGAAATGCTCTTTCCTGAAACTTGCCCTATTTAGGATTGGAAAGTTCAAGGGATTAGTACCAAGGGGGCG